TTTAGTTTTGTTAAAAAGCTTAGGACATGTCAGCTTTTGTTTGAATCCACCCATTTTTCAAGTGAACATGTCTTGGTACATGTGACTGGCAGGTGTTTCTTGTTATCCAGGTGTTGCTTTTTAGATTGATTTTTGAAACATCAAATAGATTAAATCTTCGTTTCTTACTTGGGGTTCACTCTTGTCTTATATTCATCTTTTGATCGTAAACCCAAATGTCTTCAGAAAAAGCAAAGGAATTGGCCTGGCCATTCGAATAATTTTGGAGGGGATTATATATATATATATATATATATATATATAGATGAATAAAGACAAAACCTATTTTGCCTGACGCGTTTCTTCCGCTGATAGACTTTATCAAAGCAAATATATAGATTTTATTTTGCAACAAGTATTTATAAACAAAAGTAAAACGTTGTTAGTTTTTAAAAAGTTTCAAATTTAAGAACACTCATAAATATTCATCAGGCTAACTGAGAAATCTAGATAAACTATGGAAGAATGTTCTTAGCAAATGACAATATTCTCTACAAGTGACAATAACTGATGTTATTTGCAGTTAACAATATGAAAATAACGTTCTCTACATTCCTCAAGTTGCTAAGAACATTCTGTTTTTTGTTATTATTAGTTACTTTATTTAATTAAATTCATTTCGTTTTTTGCTTCGAGAAAGTCGACATTGGACGAAACGCGTCAGCAATAACTACAGTTTTCCTATTGTCATTTATATTTATATATATTGTCTTTTCTACAGGTTAACTCATATTTCATATATATATATATATATATATATATATATATATATATATATATATATATATATATATGTATGTATGTATGTATGTATATATAGTTACAGTTTATATAGGTACAGTTACAGTTACATATAGGGTTACAGTTTAAACCACAGTTGGGCTTTGCGATTGAACAGGCGCCTGTGACAAGGATTGACTGGCCGTCCTAACAGACGAAAAGAAATAGCCAGCCATTTTTTATATATATATATATATATATATATATATATATATATATATATATATATGAAGAAATATAGTCTTAAGGTGTGCTATATTTATGGGATAAAGTGCTCAATACCAGCGATAGAGCGTGTGTAAATATAAAAGTGAACATTGAAGTCAACACTTAGAGGCGACAGTCTGTTTCATGCTATATATATATATATATATATATATATATATATGTGTGTGTGTGTGTATGTGTGTATGTATGTATGTATCTATGGAGAATGACAAAGTGAAATAATTGGAATTATGTCATATTATTATATTTTATTTCAATATATCTGACCAGCAAAGATATATCACTTTTAGATTTCGTAAAGATTTTATGTATATCTAGGTACAGTGAAAAGAAATTCCCAATATGAGTGTGGATGAAAAAGATCTTTGATATCTGAACAGTGTATTTCAAGAAGCAAAATCGTTTCACGTAGTGAAGTGATGTTTTCTGGAATTCTCTTTTCAAGCAATGCTTGTTCAGCCGTAAAAGGTGCGGCAAGAAAGAAAAATAAATAAAGAAACAAAGAAAGAAATATGAAGAGATAAAAAAAATAGGAGAAAGAAAATAGACAAGGAAAGAAAACTAGAGAGAGAGAGAGAGAGAGAGAGAGAGAGAGAGAGAGAAACTGAAGAATAAAGGAAAATAAAGAAAGGAAAAATAAACAAGAAAATAACTGAAGAAATTCTAAAAAGAAAAAGGAAAGATAGAAAGGAAAAGAACGAAAAGAAAAACGAAAGAAAAAAGATAAAGAAAGAAAAGTAAAAAGAAGTCGCAAAAAAAAAAGAAAGGAAAAAAGAGAAGGTGAGAAAAATGAAGAAATCTGTTTATTGTGCAAAAATTTTTGCAGACGATATGCTTAGGCGTCCCCCCACCCGTAAGAAAACAAAACAAAAATGTTAAAAAGTTGAAATAAGGGACGGTCCCTACTCGTTCGTTCTTTTATATTTAAAACGCCAGAAACTGATTCCCTTGTCTGTGAGCGTTAGCAAGAATTATACAGACGTTCGTTTGGGTCATATTCTATTTTCAACGATATTATCTAAAGATAACCTTTTTTTAAGAATTGCATTCTTGGCATTCTTCAACTTTTCGAAAGCCATAAAAGACTGCGAACTCCCTCCTCACCCGAAAAAATAGTCCTGTATTAAGTTAAAAACCTTTCCGGGTATTAATCTCTTCTAGAATTTCCAATAATATTCTTTGGGTGTCAAACCGTATCAATAGCAAAAATAAAATTGTTTCTTTAAGCAGAAAAGAGAATTGAAAGAATTGAAGGTTACGTCAAAAATAGGCTTTCGGCAAATGAATACATGAGAAAGAAAGGGAGTGGATTGTTTTAGTAATATTTTCATATTTATCCATATTCTAATAATATTATCAAAAGGCGATATAAATGAATATTAGTTCGGGTATATGCCAATATTGATCGTTTATATTTGAGCCTGTAATCATTTACTTGGTTTGGTGATAGATA